CTCGATGATCTTCATCCAGGAAGACCTCTTTAGCGACTCGTTGTCCAAGTCTGAAGAACTAACGCCACTTATGATGTTCATACAGACTCACGGGTAGCGTCATTAACTTCTCATTAGTGTCGCGACCGGCAGCGTGATGCCGAGGCTTTCCACGAACCTTCGGCTTCCCTCGTCGACTGCATTTTCCCCTGTATACGACTGAGGTGAACATTTTAATTGGGAGGTCGTGAACTCGGTGGTCCTCGATGTCTGCGGTCTACCATCGTTCGCTGATGCATCTGCCTTCCTCTTCGATCATCATCAACGAAAGCGTGAATCGATCATCATCAATTTGACTTTTAACGTCGAGATTAAGATAAATTCTATACCCAGGCTTCCTTTAAAAATACAGTCAAATATTTTATATTTTATGCCACGCGTTAGATAACTTCAAGTTCCCTTCTTCTAATTAGTCTTTTGAAAAATTCGATTCTCTAATTCTTCTGAAGAACGTGGCAAAAGGAAGTGAATTAAATCGTAGCTATTTTAGAACGACTTTTCCCGGAGTCTTTGAAAGGAACCATAGTTGAAATTCCAAAGGACAGAGACGAGTTCTTTGGAGAACAGAGAACTTCAGGGTCGTCGATGACAGGCGGTAAAGGATGAGGCTGGTAGTAGGTTACGTGCTTGCCATATCGGTCGAAAGAACAGCCAGCCTTGGAGGTCCTTGCTCGAACGAAGGTCTACGAAATCGCAAACAACCACCGATCGTGCCGCTTGACAAGCGGCTGGGTCATTTTACTTCGAATCACGATGTTGGCCAACGACGGTGTTAACTTTATGAATGAAAGAAACTTCATACACGGTAGCTCGTTTCTGAGAAAATTATCGCGACTCACGCAGCTCGTTAATAAAGTCTTGCTGACACTTCATTTTTTACTCAATTCGATTGGATCGTTGAATGTGTTAAAATGGATCATTGGCAAATATGAAAATTTCAAATACCTTTACGAACGGTCTGATCGTCATTGACGATGACGGAAGGTACTGTGAGTAGAATAGGAAGATAGCCGGTGTCGTTAACGAGTCACGGCATGCCAGGCTTTAGGGTGACTATCGTAGGTCTTCAAGGCAGTGTCTTGCTTCTTCGAGTAATCGACTTGAATCGAACTTTCTCGAGGAGGCAAGCGTGGCACGATTTCTCAGCCTATTATCATGTAAAGTCGATTAACAGTCGGTCGTTGACATCGGTTTGTCTTAGGTCGGGCTGCGAAGAAGCTTTAAAACTAACGCTTCCTCGCATCAATCATTCGCGATAAGATATTTACGACGGTAATACTATCAATCGTATTACGCGTTACCCGGGAAAACGACTATATAGCTTGCTGAATCTCGCGATAGACATTTCGCAAACCTGTCTATTCGGTGCACACGAGTCGCGGTAAACAGCAATAAACATATACGTGTTACGATATTAAACAGAGGCTCGGCTTCGACTCGCATTTACACCACCGGACTCGTGGGAGAAGCGTTTTTCCACCAGACTCGCCCAATGATTTCGCGTGTTTCCGCGTGTCTAGCACGATGCGGATCGGTCAACGTTTCACCGCTTATTATTTGCATATTTCTCGGGTTTCAATATCTGTCCAGCCGGCGCGGCACATCTGGCGTTCGAGGTGTGACCAGCTGTGATTTCCAGCTGAAAATCGTTGCCTTTCTCCATACTCTTTTGTTTAAATACCACCTAACCCGATACAACCTTCAACTAATCCCAGCATGTCATAATATCGAAGCCATAAACAGCTTTCGTAACGTAATGCGAAGACACACTACGTTCGCCAATTAAGCTACCAATGCAAATCCTAAAACTTTGCTTTCAACAAAAATATCCCTTGTTTAAACGCATCGAGAATGAAGCGTTCAGGTCTCCATCAATGAAAACCACATTCCTCCAGGAACAATTCTGGACGCAACACAAAGGAACATAAAACGCGACACGAGAAAAGAAAAGATCGCCGATCGTAAAGCTCGACTGTTCGATGATCGTTGCCGAAGGTGCAACGATTACCCGAGGGTAGGACGTAGGCGGTTGTTACAGGGTCAGAAGAGGAACCGGAGGCACCTGCACGCCGCCCACTAGGCAGAAGATTGAGGAACGTCTATCGGTGGTCGTCCGATATTACTCGAGAAAACGGGTGAACATCTTAACCCTTAACTGGCTAATATATCATATCCGTTACGCCACTTTACCCGGTGATTTTCTTGCGATCCGGGGGGCGGTACCGGAACGATGTTATTAGGCTTGTCCATAAATTAACTCTCGCCAGTCTACGAAATGAGTAATCGTATTTTCAGCGTGTATGCGTACCGGGAAAAAAACTGAATCGATACTTAGAAAAATCTCTCGGAAGCTAGAGAAGCGACGGGCAAATGTACAAAGGATGGAAGAATAAATAGAATAATTGTGATTAATGCAGTCGCGACGCAAGGTGTATCGTTCACGGTCCACGGATCACCGGCGTACCTACTCGAGACAATTTGTCAACGTTTGGAATTTTAATGGTCGACAACCGCGGAGGTGGAGGAGCACCGGGCTCTCGGTGTATTATGTTTCGCGTTTTTCTCCCCCTTGGCCCGTGATAAAACGGTTAAGCCGACCAGGTGAAAGTACTCCCACGCTCCCGCGGCGATGACCTCAAGTCCGACCGAATTTGCGTCACAATTTTCATACGCGACGATCATCGGGACACTTTGAAAATTTCGCCAGAAATAGTATCTTCGACGCGAGTTTCACTTATCTCGAATAAACGTATTATGCAAGACGTGGGTGTGTCTTTGTCCCGGGATCGATTTTTAGAAATCTGTCGGTTTCTGAAATTCTCGGTTTATTAGTGGTATCGGTGATTGCTTTCGATTCTAATGGAAATCGCGACCGTGTGGTTTATTGAAATCATTAGCACCGGTGATGAATAGGCAAATACGTTGGCTGTCGAGGGAAGAAGATGGCAGGTTGAATCGCGAAACGGTTATTGCGAGAGCAGGAATTAAGCATGCAACCGGTCTCGAGATCGAGAAACGCGACGAAACGCGAAAACTCTGGTATGCATCGCGGGATCTTGTGTACATAGGACGTACGATGCAATTTCCATGAGGCTGCAACAGGCCAGAGTACGAAGAGAATACGTTCTTACCGTTCATGCTGTTCGTCGCGTTAAATGAGAATCATTAAGACGATTTAAATGGATTTTCTAATTGCCAGTCATTATTTCAGCAGTGTCTTGCCCTCGCTTCGACAATTTGCGAACCGGCTGCAAGCGATTCGCCACGGTATTCGCAGCTGCGGACCAGATTTTATCGCTGTCGCAACATCGGCTAGTGATAAAAGCGAATTACAAGCTCGACGAGCTGCGATCTGCGTTCGCGACCACCTTTTTCTAAATTTCTTAAACGAAGGACAATTAACGTTGATAATAGATAGTTGATTAACGAAAGGAGTCTGTAAATTTTCTGTACGTTCAGTAGATGAATAAAAGATTTTAAAATAACAGAAGATCTAATTTCTTAATCCTTCATCGCCTAATGACCAACATCCGAAACACCGAGAATCCCTACAAAAACAGCCCTAACAGTAAGTCATCATCGAGCAAAGCGTTCTTTGATCCTCGATGCATTGTTTCAACCCTGTGCGATACCAGCGGGAATCGTCAATCAGTGTTATTATCGAGGCTACCAGGGCTTATCATAAATCTAACCGGCTGAACCATTTTAAAAACGACCCCTTCCGAGATTCCTGGAGGCAGGCAAGCGAAACACAGAGAAAGAGCCGCGTGCTGACTCACGGACACGTGCAGACACACGGTGGTGGACCATTGTTGGTCGTTGCTGGCACGGTCCGAGGAAGGAGAGCCGTCTCGCCATATGCGGCAAGGACGCCGATCACTGTTCTCCGTTGGACCTCGTACTTACATGATCGCGTGTTTACCTCTGCTTAGACCGCCGTTGTCCGCTGAAACCTTTGAAAAGCTCTTACAGGGCTAGCCGTCATCTATTCACTCGTTTCTTGCATAATCTTCACTCATTCGTGCAATTGTATCATGTTGGTATAGGATCATCGTGGGGATCTACGCGTTACTGAAAGTTAATAAGGATTAGAAATGTTGGAATTGTTAATAAAATGATAGGAATTACGTTAGCAGCCAAGTACCAGGAGATCCAGAAGATGGTCTCGAAGCAGTCAGGGTTGGAGATTTTAAAAGAATGCATTTCAGGAAGGATTCAGGTACGTTATCTGAAAAAGGAAAAATGAAATTATTAATATCTGTTAAAGCTTTTTATTATTTTTTTTCTTTTTAATGCAAGTTTTTTTTTTTTTGTCTCTTTCAATTTACAACTTCTCGTAGATAAAATGATATAACATAACATACTCAACGTTGCGTATAATAATCGTAATAATAATCAATTATCATTATTGCATTGATAATAATGATAATAATAATAATCATCGCAATAATAATAATAATAATCGTAATTATAATAATAATAGCAATAGTTGCAATTCTTTGCAATAATAATATTAATATTGGTAATCATCGGTATTATTATTTGTCGTTGCGGGTGAAAACCGCAGCTGCCTGGGGTTACGAAGCTTAGGCATAAAAAGACGAGGGTGTTTACCCTCCCACCCATCCCTCCAAACGTGAAATCTACGAGCAATTTTGTAACCAATCTTCCGGTATAGATTGTAGCCTCTTTCTTCCATTTCTTTTTTATCTATTCATTTTGTCGAGCTATTCGAACGTTCCTCCGTCTAGGGAAGATCGCGCTTTGTCGAATTTGAATTTTGATTATCCAAAGGTTCATCGAAGGTACATCGAGTACATAGAGAACTAAAAAAAAAAAGAATCCACGCTTCGTTCGAACGGCACAGAGGCCACAAAAACTAGCCGGAAGATCACCTAATTCGTCTCACTAAAAAATAATTTCGTTCTCGCTATTTTTTCTGTATTTCATTTTCTTTTTCCTTTTTTTTTTTTTTGTTTGTTCGTTTCGCGTTACGATCTCGTCAACAAAATAAACCTCTTTTCTCTGCTTCCCTGACGGAAGTGTACCTCTTAATTCGTAACAAGCAGAAGTGGCTTCGCTGGCGGGACGTCGATAGGTTGAGATTACGTTTAGGCCACACGCGAACAAGTATCTCTAGAGAACACATTTATAAAAAATAGTTGCTCGACATTTTCTACCTTTTACATTTGCCAGGTTACGTTCGCGCGATTGATTTTGGAAGGATTTTGTATTCAAGAGAATAAAAAGTATTCTTTTCCTAAAAAATCTACCGTATCATTTATCTAGAAAATCTACGAAATGTTCTCATCCCTTTTCTTTTTTCGAAAAATTGCAAAAGGATCGCGAAGTCCCGCCGGAAACGCCAGCTACCGCAGGACACTTGATAAAAAATGCCGCTACACTCGCGTTTGGTATAAAAAACAGTGAAACATTGGAATGGCGTTTTGCATCGACACGTCACTATCTACAATAATTAATGCAGTCTGTTTTTCTTAATTTTTTTCGGGGGTTAATTTGATTTTTCGTCACGAAGAAATTCCTACCGAATCTCCTTTTTAGTTGTCTCCTAGTCGAATCCTAAACAAGGATCTATCATTCCGCTTCTCGTCGTCGTTTCTCTTTCCTTCATCGAGCGAACTCGCAACGCGTAAATAAATCGTCTTCAATAAATACAACCGATAGACTATATAAAATAAATAATTTCTGTCGGTCAGCCTTGGTCAGACTGACCCTCGCAAACGTTCGAACATAGAAATTCTGACTGCGATACTCAAAATTCTCGTCGATCTCTCGACGACCTTCTACGTCGGGGAAACGTTCGTCGTCGAGGGATCGAGATTTACGCTCGTCGATCGTGATGCTACCGAGCTAAGAAAATCGCGAACACGCGTTACCCTTTCAAACTCTCCTGTGATCAAATGCTGCTTTTCTTTTGGTTGTTTAAAAAATTAGTACCAAGTAACAAGCAACTAGATAATTAGAGAAAAAAGAATCTTTCAATCATACCTAAACCTCTTAACATTCACACCAAACACCGTTCAGTCCGATTTATCAATCAATAATTCAGTCTCCGTTTAACGTTGAAGAATCACACTTAACCCATTCACGAGCAAAAGGAAAACATGAAAAGTCATCGAGATAAAAAAGAAAAAAATGAAAGGAGCTATCGATCACGCAAAGCGTCGCGACAAGAGAGAACCGAGCACAGGTCGCGTGTGTGTCCACGTTGCAAGGTGTAATCTCTCGTCTCGGATCAATCGACGAGCTGTCAGCCGGGGTGCAATTAACTGACTGGAAGCAAATCGATTGGGAAGCCATTAACGCAAGACACCGGCACAAGCTAATTGCCTGCTCGAAATTCCCTGTGTACGTTCGCCAATTGAAATCGTCCGTCGACAAGACGAGTCTGCTCCTCTTTACCTACCTGCCATCTTTCCATTTTTTTTTTTTTTTTTTTCATATCGCTCACCTTACATACAGTCTTATTCGCATCACGAACGTTATACCTCGTTCAGCACCATCCAAGCACCACCCCGATATACGCGTCACTCCTACGAGCTTTCCGCTAACTGATTTCACCCCGTGCACCGTTAAGGCCCGTTAACTTTCCCTCGAATCGGACGCCTTCGATCTGCGATCCCGCGGAAAGGTGGACTCTTTTCATCGTCAATCTAACACGATTCGCTATGTTATCAGAGAAAAATAATCTGCTCTACGTGGAAAATAGTTGTGGGTCGTTTGAACGTTCGCGAGGTTTGAGGGGAATGCGGGCTTAGGCCACTTCATGAACACCTAGTGCACCTAGACAGTATTATTACTTACTTTCTGGGAGTGTTATATGTTAGTTGGTAAGCTCGATTTGAACCGTCATTCCTTAATAGGCCCAAGGTGTATCACCTATCTCTAAAGTGTCACTTAAATCAATTAAGCACCCTCAATTCCAAAACAGTCTAATTAGTTCCTTCTAACTGGAACGCGTTCAGTCCACCCCTCGCGTGTCACCGTGATCATCGACAAACCCCCTGGTCAAAGATCGCTGAGATCGAGGACGTCGCGACGAAGAGAACCCGATGTACGCGCAGGTTAAACATCGACGCGTTTACGCGAACACCTTTAGAGTCTACCCACCCGGCAAAGCTTCACACGCTGTCCGACGCGACGGACATGGGCCTTTTGTACACCGGCGCGGGTATCCTCGAGAATCCTCCCCTTTCCGAGGCGGCTTTCGGGTCCTTCCGAGGACTAGCCGCCATTTGATTGTCCTGTGGCAACGCTACCGTACCATTACCGTCTATCCACGCCCTGGTGAACTCCATGTTGGCATCGCCGGATCCGTGCGACTGGTAGTCCCTCAGTAGGTCCTGCAGCTTCTGCACCACCTCGCGCTCGTCTTGCAGATGGCCCACCTTCTGAAGGATCTGTTCTAACAGAGGATTCGCTACCTTGGTGGGCGACGACTGAAGGGACCCGGTGGATGGCTTGATCCTTCGCCCGTTTCTGTCGTACTGGACGCCGTTGGTACTTTGTCTGGGCAGACTCTGTCTGGCCGGGCTCTTCCTAGAGAAACTGGGCGTCGTGGTGCAGGTGGCTGATCCCTGAGGGTTCAGAAATGTGTCCGACTGGATGCTAGGCCTTTGCTTAGCCTGTCTACCGTTCCAGGTATTGCTACCGCTCACCGGAGACTGACAACACTTTGGTACCGGTGACGATGCCTTGCTCAAGCTACCTGTTGGAGGCTTGCGAAGGCTGTTCCGGATTGCACCTCGTTTCAAAGGGCTTCCTTCCGGGCTGGAGTTACTGTCCCTTGGCGTCCTGCTGCCCGAAGAGGCTCTGGACACGTTGCTGTTCTCGCGGACTATGGAACCCGCGCGTGGAGTCCGGTCACCAGAGGAGGAGGCTACGCTTCTGGACGGTGAATTCCGCAGAGGACTCGCTGGACCTATTCGAGTCTTTCGTAGGCCGGTCTCGATGCTTTCTGTCTCTACGCAGGATCTTTCCTCTTGATCGGGCTTCGCGGGTTGCTCTGCAACATTAATATTGATCGATTGCTGGAGAACCGGAGGCAACAGGAGTGCTGGTTAAAAATGAATTGATAATTTCAAACATAAGAAGTAGAGATACGTTAGAATTCGACTGTTTTAAAAGGCAGAGCAAAATTCGAAAGTGTAATAATCTGAAAATGAAAACAGAGTCGAAGGCAATTAACCTCGATGCTCTCGAGACGACGTGTATGCGCGATTCGACGAATCGAAGGCGCGATACGAGAAGCTAAAAGGTTCGATTATCATCTCGACTCGTCCCGTTCCTTCAGCTTGCCCACGCACTGTGCTAAAACTGGAGATGTCTTCGGGCCCGTCGAAGGATCGTCGAATCCTAAATCGGCCGAGCGAAATCCACTCGAGTAAACTTGAAAGAACGCTTCGCTTGACATTTCAACGCGATTGCATGCGAAAACTATGCGAATGCTTGATTATGTAACACGGATTACGTAAGCAGATTGGATGACAATCGCGCGTTTTGGATAAGGACGACCGGCATCGATGTTTGACGTTGTTTGAAAAGGTTGAAGGATGTTTGAAACGGCCAAAGATGCTTTATACGATGATACAGATCGTTCTTAACGTCTACCAGTTTGCAGAGGGTGGGCTGAATCGTTCAGCTCGGTTACATAATCTCTTTAGTTGAATTATCCATGCGCAAGTAGAAAACGATTACATTGTAAGTTTATTGAGCGTAAAAAGTTATTGGCGAAGTCATGGCCAATTAGAGGGACATAAACGCGTTTTAAATCAGGAGAACCAGTTCGGAATCACAGGGTGCATCTTAATGGGACGCAGCATCGATGGTACGTTGCCAAATCGAATTTTGGCATGTAAAACTCGTTCATTGTGGAAGGAAACGTTTTGTATAAAATGGAAAGATTCCAGGGTAATATCGTGCATCGTTCAATGAATGACATAGTTTTTAAGAAAATAGATTTACTTGATTGGTACTCAACAAGGAACGTTCGGTACTCGATATCGATCGGAAGCAGTAGTCTGGTCTCGGTGACATTAAGAACTTTCCACAGACCACTGTTTCCCAACATTTTGGACCACCCTATAACTCATTAATATTCAAACTACATGAACATACACGTTATGGAGGCGAGTATACAGGTTGGCCTGACATTTAGCTGGTTCCGAAGTATTCCACGGAGGAGGGGAACCGTAAGTACACGTGTGAGTATTTGTGCCGGAGCGTGGGCGATCTTCAACAACAACCTGTCCTCGGAACAATCGCCAGCGGTCGATCCTCGATAACGCTTACACGCTTTGCTTCGAATATAGCCCGGTGCGCGCGTTCCACGCACTTGACATACGCGATCTTCGGTCACGCGAATAAATAAAATGAAAATCTAACGACCGAGACCCGTGAAAATTCGTGCTAGACGGGACGATAATACCGGTCGCGAATCGATTGGCCTTCGACAAACGCGATGACGAACTCTAGAGGCAAGGAAAAATCAATTTCACGGCAAAATGTTTCGGCAACACCCACGAGTGGTTGTTCGAAGTAGGCCAGGCTAGAAAGTGAATAAGAAAAAACGTGGAAAGAGGCTGGGAAGGGATCGATCGACGAGGGAACGAGAAACACAAGAGGAACCCGCACAATACCCCGTTTGTTCGTCCCCTTCTTCCCCGCGATCGCGACATCCACCCCCTGTTACCGTGTGCATATTAAACTGAATGACTGGCTTTGATCGAAACGTCGCGAGTATTTATGCGTTTTCTCCGCAGCGGGATGCGATTATCGCGATCTTGAGACGATTTCACTTGTCTCCGATCGGAAACACCCGACGAGTCTCTCGTTCGTTATGAAACGAGACACGGACGCGGTGACTCTAGATTTTAATTGCTGCGTCGAGCAACATTTAATGGGTATGGAAAGTCGTTAAAATGAAAATGTAACTACTTTTGTCAGAGCGAAATCGATTCGGTGTCATAATTTAATATCTCCTTGATCAATGTGCGACTTTAAAATAGAAGATGAACACTTTGGTGGCAAAAAAAGAAAGCATCATCCTGTAAATCGAAGGTGGAACGTGACCATCTATGCTTAAGAGGTACACGCAGCCTGCTACATCGGTTAACTTAACCAATATTACAACGCAATATTCACGTAAGAACCATCGAGAGCCCACGCAACACCCGTTGACCATAAATCAAGCCGCGAAAAGGTCCAAAGGAACGAATGAGATCGCCACGACTGGAGGCGACGAAAATAAAAAAAGAAAGAAAATGAAAAAATATGTGACAAACAGCGCTCACTTTGACAATCGGCAACCGTGGGCGAGCCCTGCGTGCACGTTCCAGGATTTCCGTTGCTGCTGGGTGGCTGGACGGCTCCCAAACTTCGATAACCCTCGTCTGACATCTCGCTACAGTTGTCCGAATGTTCTCCATCGCCGTGAGGAGATTTGCTGCTGTAATGCGCGTTACTCGTCACGTCTTTGCCGAAGTTCTCCAACACCGGCTCCTCCTTGATCGCCGGAGGGCTAGGTGTCGGGCTACGACTACTGGAATCTTCGCGACACTTGTAATTATAGATCGTCGGCTCGTACTTCGGCGTGTCGTCTTTCTCTACCGCCCTTCGCGCCACGCCACCCTCTACCACGTATCGTTTCGTGAACTCCTCGGACAGGGCTGTTTTCGCGCGATTTTCCTGCTGGAGATCCTTCCTTGCATCCTGCAGAACAGATCGGAGAACAACCGGTCAATTTAAAAATATTCTATCACCGATCTATACCTGGCCTGATCTATAACAGCCAAGTAATTCATCGCTTACCTTAACTTCCTGATGCCTTCCATGATGGGCCGGCGAGCGGGCATCCTCGTTCAAACTTCTGCTGGGCGAATCAACGACGCTGCATCCGATCCTCGCGTGTTCCCCTTTCGTCGCAGGGCTGTTCGATCTGAACTGTTGCGCCTTCGGGGTGGGCGATCTCGATCGCTGTTTCCCGAAATCGACAGGCTGGTGGCTCGGACTGGCGAGGAATTTCCTCTGTGGCGTGGGACTCCTCGACCGATTGATCTTCCTCTGCTCGTCGTTCGTCTGTTGTTTACCGGCTGCTGGCTGGTGAGGCGTGGGAGATCGGGAACGATTGCTGGAAACGCTTCTGGCCGCGTGCAGCTGCGTCGACGGCTGATTCTGTATACCACCGGCGCAAGAACCGACGCTAGACGCCGAACTTCGCCGAGTTCTAGGAGGTGATCTGCGGATCAGCATCACGTTTCTTTCTTATCTAATTGGACCAGGCAATTATGCTAGTTGGCCCGCTAAATATCACTATTTCGCGTTGGTAAATTAAGTAATTATCATTTCAATTTACTATAGCGGTCTTTGGCCCTTCTAAGCATATTTTGCCTGCCTCCTTTATACGATCAATTGTTAGAAAAGTACGCGTCAAAAATGTTAATGTATAAATTGTTAGTTTAAATACAACGAAGATTTTCTGAAACTCAAAGTCTTTCCTTTCAACGCTCCATATAATTTCCCGAGGCTCGTGCATCGTGCTATCTCGAACAGGCGATAGAAAATCTCGACGGAATGAATGACTGCGGACAGATAAATGACACCTTAGAAGCAGAAAATTACTCACCTTTCGTAATGCACCTGCGCGCTGCCAAGGTCGAAGGACCCTCCAGCCTTTTGAATCAACTTCGCTGAGATCATCGAGCGATGCGCTGCAATGATGGAAAAAAAGAATGGAAAAATGGATGGGTACACATGCGACGCTGAACAGGTGATTACACAATCGAACAGGATCGATATTTTTCTGCCGTTTTTTTTCTTTTTCAAAGAAGAAGCTGAACGCGTCACTAAACGTCATTTTAAATTAATATCCATAGAATATGAATTTCTATAGGCTAGACATCTTTGGAAAAAAATGTCTTTCTTTTTAATGATGACCATGTTGAGCAAAACAAAGTTCTCGTATAATGCGGTAAAATGTAAGGGTTTACTTACAGGTTCTGCATCGACACGGGTCATGTTTGTCCAAATAGTGACTGAGGGTGTCCCAGCCTCCACCGACTCGCACCATAACGTGACTTCGTAGAATTCGCACGAAAATCAACACTTTTGTGTCTCCAATTCGATACTTTCCCTCGGATACACGGATCATAGGGAACTGGGTAGGGCAGGTGCACCTCTCAACCAGATCCCGAACCTGAAACAAAGAATTTCCAATTAAGATTAGTAATAATATTCGTAATTGCCATTGTCAGACTCGATAAGAATTTCCTTTTCACGATTAATAGACACGTCGGACAAACTCAATACCGTAGGAACAAGTTGACGGAACAAAGCAAAGCGAACACGAGTTTTCCGTCGCGTTCTTAACGCATTTTTTTTTCATTTTTCATCATTTTTCGAACACGGAGTGAAAGCAGAAACTCCGCGCCCTATCTGTCTGTCTGTCAAACGCTCGCGGGCTCGCGCGAGCGTAATTCCTCGCCGGTTTTATCCAGTCGCTTGTTAATTTCGTTCCGCCCGTCGTCGACGCGTGCTTTCTTTACGCGTATAAACGATTTGTTTTCTTTTCCTTTTTCGCCTTTTTTTTTTTTCAAAAAGGAAACGAGGTGACGTTCAACGAAGCGAAGTCTGACTACGTGTCAATTCTGCGTTCGAAAATTACACGCTTGCAAATTGTAGCTTCACGGTCAAGATTTATGCCAACGTTGCAAATTGATTTTGTATGCTTCTCCTTCCTTTGTATGCTGTTTTTTTAGCGATGTTATACAGATTTATCTTGATTTATGTTCTTTCTTTTTATTCGAAGTGGAGATATTCTCGATTGACCCAGACAAGGGTTCGATAATTAATCACAATCAGTTTGAGAAAAATATTGAAATTTTCGCGGGAGTGGTAAAAAATCATTTATGATCTCAGAGAACACCCAAGATCCCGACAGAATTACACGATACGCTGAGACAAGCAGCCCCGTTATCCCAACACGGGGAGAACTTTCCTCTCGCGGCGTATTAAGTCGGCCGCGTTATTGATTACGCTCCGTTATCGGCGCGTCGAATCGGCTGATATAAATATATATCATTTACGTGCGAACACCCACAGGCGGGCGGTCTCCTGACACGAGGAACGGTGAAAATTATTTATTACCGGATCATAGAACCGCGCGAACCCGACTGATTCTTAGCCACGGGGCTGCTCGAACAATTCCCTCCCTGCCTCTGCCGATGACATTTTTCTCCCGCCAAATGATTTACAATGCCGGCCACCGCGCAGCTTTCCTGAAATTTCCGACGAACAACACCCCTGTTCGGACGATCGATCGAAGGAAAATACTGCTCGCCGTGAGGCTACAACACTGTCTGCTCTGGTATTCAGACTTTAATTCTGATTGGAGAGGGTTGGCAAGAAGAATGAGACGAATAAGGTTCAGGGGAAAGAGGGGACGTGTTTCATTCTAGGTTTAATTAGGGGATTCGGTGATGAAGGTGTGGCTGGGTTCCTGGGCCTCGTAACTGGAGGGTGGAGACGTCAATTCTTGAAACGTACTCGTTTTCGAAGGTAGAGGTGTATTGAGAAAAAGGGCCAATATTCGAAATTATAGCATTTAAGTTTGATCGATATAGGCACCGTGCGTCGCCGACTCTCCGGATAAGGGGAAGAATTTTTAATTCCTAAATTCTGATATTTTAATATTTTAATGCTCGAAAATTTATAGCTATATACCTGTTTTAATACTCGATAAACGAGTTGCCTTTCCAATATTAATTAGTATAATTAAATGATAAGTATTTCTTGGGAATAGATCTATCTACATAATACCACTTAATCATCTCTGTTGAAGATCAATGTAATCTTCCACTTGTTCGCAGCTTATTTAATCATAAAATCATAAAATCCTATCGATGTTTCGCGTCAGCTGTTTCGAAACGCTTGAAACGTCGAAGGTGGAAAATCACCGATTATCGAGGGAAAGGAAACGATGAACGATTTAATCGTCGACACGATCAGCCGATCGAGAATGCCAGAAGCGTACTCGTTGTTCCTGTTGACGTGGATAGTTTGCGTCACGTCGTTTCTTGTTCCAAATATTTCGTTTCTGGTGACGTTGAATGCTAGACACACAGGATGTATCTGTCCCATAGTAATTAATAAATTATGCAAACCCATGGAAAGGTGTCGAGATTCAGGCAATCCTGACTCCAATAACAATTACCTGAATCGATATAACGATACGTAACACCTGTTCGACATACTTTTACTATTACGATATCAACAAAAATGAAACATTATCTATATCCGTTCAATCAATCCTTTTTCTAATGGTGAAGGGATTAAGATTTATTCACTTTTTTGCAGATTATATTCAATACAAAAAATGTCACATTAGAAGGGAGCGTCGACGTCGATTTTAATAATGCTACTCTCACAGGCGACCTTTCCTACTGTCCGCTTTGCGACACACCAATTGTCCACGACCTATTAACTTTCTAGGCTACATATTTCCTGCTCGACGATAACTATTTTTCTATCACGAATCATTGTTATCTTAATTATTTTACGACGATCAGAAGCTTAGAGTGATAATGAATAAAAGAAAAATGAATTTTTTCACGATTCAAGTGGTCGATGAATTCGCATCCTCTTTCAGCTACCTGTGTCTTCGATGCACCCAACGAAGGGTGACGAAATTTCCTAATCACTCTCCCCTCTTCCACGCCCCCTTTCTCGACCAATGCACCGATAACGAACTGTATTCCGTATCGTTAGGTTAGCCTCTATTACGTAAGTCGGCCTTGCATTATAGCATCATAACCATTCATCCTGTCCGCTCACCTGCAATGCGCCACACGCTGCTTGTGTTCCCGAACGATACGCGACTGCACACAACCGACGACTAAACAAGAAACGTTAACCAATTTGGCTATCTCTTTGACTTTTGACACATGAATTTTTTCGAAAAGTTGAAAAAATAAATTTGTCACCAGTCCGAAGTCAAAGATCGTAAGGATTTGAGAATTGGAAATTTACTACGAAACGAAGGAGAATAATTCCATGAATTTTCCATTGGTTCCCGGTTCGAGGGAAAGTTTACTGGAACCTCTGAGAAAATCGTTTCACGAGAAATAGGAAGACTCGAGTCGCATTGCTAACCGAACTAATGAGACCAACGTAATTCCTCGTATCACGGTGTAATTACTGTTTACGCGATCGCGAGCATAGCTGTTACGGGACGACGATCGTTGCCTTCTTCCTTCTTCCATCGTTCGATCGCGAAAAATCTCGGCTTTTACCGTGTCTCTTAGACGTCCATGATCCTGAGCTTATTGAAAAACCAACACGCCTCTTCCGTGAAACGCTAATAATACGTCTTTATGGAAATTTTTACGAGCACCGTTCTTTTCGCTCAAGCGAAACACGTGTGTTCTGTGAGAATAAATAAACAGCGTCTGCTTTTCGAGCGGAGAAAACGAAAACAACGAAACGGGAATAGTTTTTATTTTTCCAAGTAAAAGTTTCAAATTGAACGGGATTCAACGATGGAAGAACAACGCTTCGGGCGTGCAAATTGGTTCGCGTGAAGTTAACGAAGGAAACGCGAGATAGCAAATCGCGCGCTTTATACCGGAAGTCGATCGCGAGAGGGAAGCGACAAGCGATCTGGAATAATTCCACGAGTAAGCTGAAACTGGCTAGAGAAAAATTCGAGAATTAATTCGACTGTGTTGCGTCTGTGTGGGTGGCGAACCATTCTCTCTTTCCAGCAAGAGTAATTCAATATTATTTTTACTCGTGCCGTAGATCGTTATCCGTGATCTTGACCTCGCTAAATAATGCTCTTCTCTCGATATTAATTTCATGCCTAAATTACGACAAGATGAAAATTTCCTTTAAAGCAAGAAGGATTAGCGCACCTATGCTAAAGTTCACGGCGAGGTCAGGCGGCGAAGTAAGGAAAATCCTATCAGAAATTAGTTTCCTTGGCGTTGTTATGTTAATAGACACGTCGACACGCGGAAGTATGCTCGCGACACGGGTACGAAAGGTTGTTGAACAAATGAGAAGATCCTTACGAGTTTATTGCCTGCCATCGATGAGATCGGCCTCTTCGCCGATGGCTACCACACTGGAACACGCATCAACGCGTGTTTCCTTTGAACCAACTAGGATAATTTTAACCCTTAAAGTACCTAACGGGATGTCTTTCTAAATCCTAGAAAGACCAAGTAAAATTTATCAGAATTTTCACTTCCTTGCTAAATACCGATCAAGAGGAATTCGTGTGAAGTAAGAAAAAAAATGTCGTCGACATTTATTAACACGCCGTATACACGGCAGAGAAAGTGATGGAAGCTCCGTTGGAGATCCTGATCGCTATCTGGCCGGTATCGCCGGCAGCCGATCTTCCCAGGAGGATCGGCGCGAGGGGCGTTCTCGTGAGAAGACGAACAGAGAAGAACGATCCGTGTTGCTGTTGGTTCCGTGATCGCGATCCACCGTGGTGGTGTCTTGATCATGAAAATGAGTTGCGCTGCACGAGCTCGTTTTCCGGAGAAAATGAAAGTCCCCGGGGAGCTAGGAGATCGATGTCCCTTGAAATTCTCTTAGACAACAATGTTGCAGCTTCTCCGAAATTAATTCAAACGAGAAAGATTCACTTTCAAAGGGTCAAGGGTTAATATTTCCCTTACTATTTCACACAACGAGGTATAGCAGTCGAGTTTATTAAAACACCAACCTATTTTTTCATTTCAATCCACATTTATCAAGAAGCCGCATTAACGATAGATCTAAGAGGCTGTTAAAATCTTTGTTCTAGTTACGAATGTCCACAGAGAGATGCTTCTCTCCTTCTCCACCCTCTGTTGAAAGTTTTTAGATAAGAAAAAACAGGGTCCATTCTGTTGACCCGATTTTCCTTTGTCTCCTGCAGATACTTCCAGATCTTTTCAATTGCAGACCGTTCCTTTCTTATCGAAGTGTACTCGCTCGTTCTATCAGTTGATTTACACTGTTCTTGCGCTTGAATAAACTCTGCGACGTATTTTAGAGATTGGAATTATTTGAAGATACCATTGCTCTTTATCTGATACGGAATTTGGGTTAAAAGGTCGCTCTTAGAGTAGGACTTATTAAAATTGGAATGAAGATAATGTTTCGAACGATGAATTATTAGAGAAAATATGGCAATCAATGTAC